AGATTGCAATCCCAAACTAGGGTATTTGTATGAGTTTCCATTTTTTTTCTGAATCGTACTGCACGATGAGTAGAATTCAAACTTCTGGCATGGAATGAATCTATTGAAAACACTTTCCTCTCGCCAGAACAAAATTGTTGTCTTTCGACGCGTGTTGGATATGACTATAGTATAATTGGTTTTATGAAATTTTCATTGACCTCAAACCTTTGAAAATTAAATCCAGATGATGATAATAAAAGAATTGAGGCAAGTTTCTGTTATTATTTTGCTTCATTTGATTGTATACATAATTTTTCAATACCTTTTTAGTCTGTTTCATCTCAGTGGTGAATATTTCTAGATAAAAGATCCCATACGTTGGAAAAGTATGTTGGTCAACAATACAAGAGACGACGATGTGTTGGGTGTTATCATCAGTTGAGAATATTACATGGACATATAGAAGCATCTCGAAAAACGAAACAAGTGAATAGTTATTGTTCTAGTTGTTTTAGAAAACCACATCTCTGCTTACCATGTTTTACGAGTAGACACAGCGTTTGAATTCTCAATTTTGAAATGTGAAATAATAACGATTATAAGTATGATAATGTTTTTTATTCAAATCGAGAGGGTATTATTTTAGGGGATATTACTTTTTGGGAAAGAAAAGTGTTGGCTTTCTACTTTATAGAAAAAATATGGAAATCTTCCAGGGAAAAGAAGAAAGCAATTTCAAAAATTAACCTCATATAAAGGTGTGTAGATTATGCAAAGAAGTAACTTTCAGGCAGGAACTGGAAGAAAAAACCCTCTCAAAGCAGATATTCGTAATGGAATTGAATAAGATATCATTCACAGGATTCCTACCCAATATAATTAATGGAAGAAGCAAATTTCACTTACATGGAATACTGTTATCCTCATTGGTTGGTCCAAATACGAATAACATTTTGAGATAATACTATTCGTATTTGATACTGAAGAGCCAACAAGGCAAGTGCCTTACGGCGAAACATCAAGAAGTCTATCCCTCAAAACAAATCTACATTCGAATAAAATTCAGATAAAAATTTATCCGAGTCGACTGTAATACTTCTTATCGTTAATAACAAAAAAAACATATGACATTCAAATAGGCGACGTTTTGCGATGTTTTGCGACGTTTTGCGACGTTTATCTCTGTTCAATTTTTCGAATGTAAATTTCAGTTTCCATTGACCTATAATTTGTCGTAAATACACTTGTACAAATATTGGTTTCTCGCTAAAGTCCAACTCTGTAATTCCTAAGTGTAGGAATGTCGACTTCAACTAACCTACCTGTCAACTAATTCTGATTTTACATTATTTCACCAGAATTAAGATTTCGTCTGTAGGTCTGCCTATATTTATGAAATGAATGATCATTTCAAAAATTTTGCTCTAGTTAAAGGGTTCAACTACACATGTCCACTATTTGCTTGGCTCCCACGAATTGAAAGTCAACGGAACTTTATTTTGGTCTCCATATGTCAATGGGAAGAAGCAGAACAGAGAGATAATAGTTTTTTGATGAGTCAGGGAAATATACAATGAAAATATATAGTATATGACTTATTTTATAGACATAGACATACTTTATTTGACTACGTTCATGTAAATTACATTTGTAGCATTACATTTGTAGCAAGTACAAAAATTGGAAAAAAAATGGAAAAAAAATTGGGTTTGAATATAATTGCATTTGTATGTAGGAAAAAAATCATGGAGTCAGTCAGAAACACTGAATATACAGCATGAACCATCAAACACAACAACACATCAATAACTTAAATACGATTATAGATATTAAAAAAAACTAAATATCTGAACATTCTCATGCGAATGGGGAGGTGTCTAAATATTCTGCAATAGTGTAGAAACTTGAGCTGATGAGGAACTGTTCCACCTTTTGATTGAAACATTTAGGGGACAAAGATTTAACTTCCCTAGGCAAGTGATTATAAAGAATTATATTGGGAGAGTTATTCATAGCTTTATTTAATCTATATTTTATAGGTCTAATTTGATCTGCATGTCGAGTGTGGTAGTCATGGAAATTTGAATTCAGTGAGTGATTATGTTTATTTTTATGGATTTCTAATAGCTGTTGATATACAGGCTGATTCACGGTGGATGGCACATTAGACGTTTCTGGCGAACCAGACAACGGATCACTTTGAAAATTTAATGGGGGGCATATTCGGACATTCTCTAGCCAACTTTTCGTATAAATTTCTTGAGATTCATTGGCGGTAGATTCGGATACATTCCATTGAACTTTCTACATGTTCTGCTGATAATTTTGTCACACTGTCCAAAAATAATAAACAAATTCATAAGAACTTCGTTTGAATAGTTTTGTTCCATCGTTTTGAAGGTATTTGCAACTTCTGAAGTGACGAAAATGTCGATATTATTAGGAGAATGTCACAACGCTACTGTCAAATAGTAATCATGGCCTGCTTACCAAATACCGAATGGAAATACCATTCTGAAGGGACATTTTCACAAATAAATGTTCATAAGTCCGAAACTTGACTAGTTAGGTATAGGTATGATATACATAGAAAGAAAGCAAATTTCAGCAGCTTTCCAAATTTTCAATAATATACAGGGTGTTCCATTTAAAATAATCAAATTTCAGCAACTTTTTCAAGCAAACGAAAAAACTGTATTTTTTTACCACCCTGTATTGAAGTAACGGAGATTAGGCTAACGTGTGGGAAGTGTCCAAGTATCACCTAACTCCAAACCAAATTTCGATATCATAGTACTTCTTAACTAAAAGATATCGGCATTTTTAGAAGTCATGATTTTCGAAGAAAAAAATTGAAATTAATTTTTATTTCGAAAACGGTAACAGATAGGTATAGGGAAATATCAAGAAAAGTTGTCGGGCAATTGTTGGAGATTCCAAAAATAATATTATATACAGAGTGTTCCATTTGAAAAATCAAAGTTGCTACTGCTTTCTAATAGAAGCGGCAACACCGCATTGTCGAAAATATTTTAGTTGGCTAGAGAATGTCCGAATATGCCCTCCATTAAATTTTCAAAGTGATCCGTTGTCTGGTTCACCAGAAACGTCTAATGTGCCATCCACCGTGAATCAGCCTGTATAGCTTATAGTTACTGATTATTGCTTATAGTTATTGATATATAGGCTATAGTTATATGTATTATAACTGATTGAATAATAAGAATATGCATTGAAAAAGATGCCAACAAGTCAAAATGTGAAGAAACCACTCGTAAATATGTAGATACTTCGATCAAAACTCCAACAAAGTCAAAAAGAGTGTCGAAAAGAGTCGAAAAATTGCATCACGAAATATTGTACACCCTGTTCATTGGGGAAAATGTCAGCTTCATGCAGTTCTGTTAGTGCATGGAGTAGTATAATTTTGAAGCCAGATCACAGAAGCTGAGGTTTATTTGAAGTGTTTGAAATTGAGAATATACAGTGTCATCCCCAAAGTATACACTATATGGAAACTCATTCATTAAGGGTTTTTCGACAAAATATTACTCATGATAAAAGTTTGTGCATCCCCTAAAACTAAACCTGCACCAACAAAATACAGTAAAATACACGTTATATACGAGGAGCCTTCAAATATTTGATTTTGAGACCAGAGTAAAGTACTCTTATTTTGAAAAATTTCGGGAAATGTTATGCAGAAAAGTTGTTCAGCATTAAAAATACATCTAGATTTGAAGTCATGGCCGTCTAAGCGACGTTTTATTTTTTTAATATTTTTTTTTCAAATGTTAGTTGTTTATCCATCAATTTCTATTTTATCACCTCCAAAGTAATCCCCCTTAGCGTTTTTCCAATCTTCGAATCAGTTTTCATTTGCACTTTTTGTAATGTGTTTGAGCTTTCTTAGCGATTCGGTTTTCATCTCCTCAATCATCGCAAAAAGCCGTCCTTTCATAGGTCTCTTCAATATTGGGAACAGGAAAGGTCACAGGAGGCCAAATCTGGTGATTATGATGGCTAAGGCATGATTACAGTGTTGTTTTTGGCCAGAAAATTACGAGCAAGCAATGACGAGTGAGCAGATACATATCGTATTGCAAATGCCATGAATCGTTTTTTCACAATACTGGACGTTTTTTTTGTATTGCTTCCCGCAAGCGGCACGTAACTCCAATATAATGCTCTCTTGGCTCTCCTGGGCTCTTCCATCGAGACGATTGGACTTTGGTTTCGATGTCATAACCATATACCCATAATTAGTCACCAGTTATGAGCATTTCAGGCAAATCTGGATCACCCTTGACGTCATTCAACATTTCCTCAACGATGCTCATGCGACGGTTTTTTGGTCAAAATTTAGCAATTATGGAATAGAACTTCACTGACACACGCTTGATGCCCATATTTTCCGAAAAAATTGCATGACGTGAGCCGACGGATATGCTGACATCCTCAACAACTTCTCTAATAGTAATTTCTACGAAATGCTGTTACCACTTCTAAATGTTTTATGACTCAGAGTACAATCACCGTATGCCACTGTCAATATTTCGAATGTTTTTGAGTACTTGCTTCCATTTTTTACAAAATATTTGACGCAAATTCTTTGATTCCGTATTTTCGATGGCACGAAATTACTAAATTCGGAAAACACTTCCAACTTTATTGCCTCTCACCAACAAACTGGACATGATAAATAGCTAAAACTATAAAAATATGTTCGAAACGAGTGTACCAACTAATTGAATGTAAGTAGCCTGCGAAATGTTTACATTTATTGTTTGGAAGACCTCGTATCCGAAATCTTTTTATATTATCAGACTATAATCTTAGCTTATTGAGAATAAATTCCGAACCAGTCATGATTTTTCAATACTTCTGTTTCTGAAAGTTTCATAAGTAACCATTAGTAACCAGTATACATATTATAAAAATATACAAATATTACATACGTTACGAATAGTCAACCATTCTTAGAAGTTGTCACGTGATTTCAGTCATTGATGATTTCAATTTTTTCAGTTGTCGAAGAGATTCAAAAAGCGAATAAGTTACAGGAACGCATGATAGAGCACTTCAGTTCGGAATTTTTCCAATTGAAATCAACCACAAATGAAATATACAGAGTCTTGAAGAATCTAGAGGCTCGCTCTGCGACTGCTGATAGTGACAAAAACGACACTGTCTCCCAGAACATTATGTTATCTGAAAGGTTTTTATTTCCGTTGAACTCGCTTGTGATGGTATTGCAATTCAACGAAGAAATAACACAAAATGCAGAGTACAAAAAATACCTGGTGAGTTGTTCGTTTCAATTATCGGGGATTGAGAATTCACTGTTGATACATTTCCAGCTTGAATTCTCAGCTACATTGCACTGAAGTATTATTGTTGAATGAAATTTTTTGATGTCAGAAATTGTCAAAATTTTCATAAAAGTTTGATTTTGTAATAAATCAAAACCTGTTAGTTCTTCCAAAAATGATTGGATTTACAAATTGTGATCTTCATGAAAAACCCTCAAATTTGAGCCTGGTTTCATTTCCCTTTAAATTTATTTTGATTTTGTTTAAGAAGAAACTATTGAGAACACTCGTTCCAAGACAGAACAAAATACCCTATCTTGACGCACGTTTTGCTAACCAAGTTAGCATCGTCAATCGACGCGAATTCTGGAAATCTACATTTTTGCCTGTCAGATGAATTTCCAAGAATAGTTTTTTCATCTCTCATGGTGAACTTCACGACATTGACGTAATAACGGAGGATTTTATTCGAAATTAATACAAATCAGAAACGAATCATGTTTCATACAAATTTTCAACTTCCCAATGATTAAGGTTGAGAAAATGCAAATTTCCAGGGTTTCTACATTCTATATATTCAAACAATTTGCGGAAAGTTGACGATTTTTAAGTTAATACAATTTCTTCGCAATATTTCGTAAAGGTGAAAATAGTGCATTTCTTTAATGTCCCCATCTTTAATTTTGTGAACGGGTCAACTCAAAAAATTGAAATTTGTGGGTAATGAAATCAATGCATGAATACTTTATTTTGACCTGAAATCGACAGATGAAACTTTTAAGATGGTGACTGGGCGTCATCTGGGAAAAAAATTAAATGGAAAGGGGGTCTTATGACACATCATTTTGAAGCTCCTGACGAATACTTCAAAACCCTAGAATATGAAGTCAATTTCTTCACCTACTATAAAATGGTGGAACATTTAATTATTTCCTGAAGACAAACACATTAATATCGATATTTCTAGAAATATTCATTTTTATCTGTCATATGGCAATTCCAATAACTCGATAAGGTTGTTTAGTTATTTTTTTATTATAAAAACGACAAAAAATGTCAGTGCGACAATGAACATCATTGTTCAGATAGAATATTCTCATTTAGTTTTCGTTTTTACTAGTAGAAAAGTACCATGTCAACAATCTCTAAAATGGTCAATTCTCGTTCATTGGAAAAAAAAATTAAGCGATTGTTATTCACGGTGCGACGCGTAACTTTCACGAGACCGAAAGGATTTTCAATGAACGTTTTCCGAATCGTCCTATCTGTAGAGAATATTTGGGGAAACTTGTATCCAAATTCACAACTACCGGTAGTGTACATAATAAAAAGCCTTCAGATTATCCGCCCATTCCAGATTAACAGCAAGTGCAAATAATTGATTAGACGGTAGTAAATCCTGAACAGTCTACTTATTCTGTCGCGAATGTTTGTGAGGTGTCTCTTTCTACTGTTTGGAGATTTTTGAAGAGGAATAGGTATCATCCATATAAAATTAAAATGGTACACCAATTAACTGAAGATGATCCTGATCGAAGAACAAAATTCTGCAAAATCATGACGAAAACCATTGCAAAGGATCCTAACTATATCCATAATATTTGTTTTAGTGACGAATGTACTATTTCTTCAAACGGCTATGTTCACAGACAAAATTGCCGTTATTGGAGTGACACTAACCCTAACGTTTTCCGGGAAACACATACCCAATATCCAGAAAAAATTAACGTTTGGGCAGGAATATTGGAAAACCATATTGTAGGACCTCTATTTATTGATCAAAATTCAACAGGGAAACTGTATTTGAATATGCTGGAAACGACTATTGATCCCCTCATCACTGAAATCGTCGAAGCGAATCCTACTGAATTCGATAATGATATTGTATTCTAACAAGATGGAACACCACCATAGTACTCCAGGCAAGTAAGAAACTATTTGGATACTACTTTTCCCGGTTGTTGGATTGACCGTCTAGGTCCTACAGAATGGCCAGCCCGCTCGCCAGATTTGACATCTTTGGACTTTTTTATGGCAATATTTGAAGCAAAAGGTGTACGTCAGAGAATAATAAATATTTGTAGAGATATTGACGTTACTGTATTCGAAAATATTCGGCGTGAAATATCGGATAGGTTGTTCATATGTCAGGAAGTTCCAAGCAAACATTTCGAGCATCTTCTGAACTGACCTCAAGCTTATTATCTCATATTATGTAGTTAAATGTCAATGTATTCAGGAAATTATTAAAAGTTCCGAGGGTGAAAAATGTATGTATGTATGTATGTATGTATAGTGTTACTGTGTTGATAACAAACCAGTTGGTTGTTTTTTTTTTCACAGATCAAAACATACACGGATATTGGTGGAAGTGATGGAAGTGAAGATGGCAAAATTGTAGCAAGGAAAATTCTGTCGAAAATTTTCACGAAATACGTATTGACACTGTTTTCCTGGACTGGTATTTCAAGAACAAAGGGCTTGGACAAAAAAGAGTCGTTCCAGTCATGCCAGGGCATTTTATCATTCTTCAATGAATTACTCATCAAAGCAGATTCACGTTGGAATCAAAATAAAACTGAAAAGTTTTTCAAATGTTATATTTTAAAGCACGCCAGGCAAATAAATGAGGCGCACCAAAAAACGAAAAAGAAAGCTGAACAGAAAACAGAAACAGCTGAGGAGAGCAACGTATATTTTCCAGACTTTATAGAAAATGAATTTTCACCTGAAACAAATAAAAATTTTGGTATTGAAAAAGAAGACACTATTGAATGAAAAACGTAATGTAGAGTTGAATGACTGATATTGGGTTTCTACTTCTTCCAGTTCCCATGTTTGGATATCACCTAATGCATTCTAAATTATATCACTGCTCCAGTTCTACATACGAATTCTCAGGTGAAGTGGATGAAATTGAAAATAAACTTGAAAAATCATATTTAAATGCATGAGCTTTATCTCTTGCTAATCTAGTATGTAAAAAGCCTAGATTTCAAGGTGATCCTAATAAATATTCATGAAAAAGGCCGACATTTCTTCATCTTCTCCTCATTTTCCTCCATATTAGGTTGGTTCACAATACAATAGAAAAAAACAAGTGAAAATGTATTTTTCTCCTCATTTCAAACAATCACATCTCTGCTTGAAATGTTTCATGAAAGGCACAGTGGATGAAAAACTAACATTTAAACTCATATTATTTTCCAAAAGTAATTTCTGTGCTAACATAGTACAATTGTAGAAGTGATAGATTACTGAGTTTTCGAAAAGTTACTGGGAACAATTTCTGGTCAAGAGAACCGAGTTCTCATTTTTTCATTTCACTTTATCTGAAGCAACCAGTGGTCTGAAGTTGATGTCACACTTTGCTTTTTCACAGTGCGACGTTCTAGTCCTTAGTCGAATCGGCTTCTTTTCATTGGTGCATCAAGATGTGCTGAAATTTTTTTACTGAAGCGAATAAACGAAACGTTTTTATAAGCATTCTCCTCCAGAGTGATAAACCTCTATCACTTGTCACCGTATTCTTTGTGTCTTGCTTTAAATTCAAGTAATGGATTTATCCATGTAACATGTCATGCTAATAATGGATACTATAACTCCTCCCATAATGCTTGTGTCACACTGTGTGGTTTCACCAGTGCGGTTGAAATGGACTGGCTTACTATCACACTGTCCTGCTGTCGAAAAATTATGTGTCTACTTTTCAGTTAACCAGCTGCCGCCCCCTCACGAACGACAACTTTCAAAAGTCGAAACTTGTGCGAGCTAAGGACTAACGAGGTCTTACCTTTTAGCGGTCGATTGAGAGAGTGGAACAAACCACCCACGTCAACCCACCAGGCTACCGTCCTACCATTCTGCTGAACAGAATATCTATTACATTTTGCCAAAATATGGCCAAAAATGTTCGGTCTATTCATTCTTCTTCCAAGTTCAACCTTTTTTATATCCTGACCGACTGATTTTCAGACTGACATATCCCACTTTATTTTCCATAATTTTGCATGAGGAATAATGTGATATGATTGTCATGAGGTATGACAGAGAAACATCATATTCCGAAGTGACCGCTCATATTTGATAGTGATTCTTCAGTTTATAAATATTGAAAGCAAAACATTCGTATGTAGCAGCACACTTTATAATTGTTATTACATTCTGTTGATAAAATTTATGTAAATACTTTATTTTTTCTTCCAATAACAGTTCTCTAACTTTCCTCCTTGAACTGATCTAGATATCTTACAGATGCAGCAGTTGGCATTCAAAGGAGTTCCAACGGCGATTTCATTTGCCCGCTTTGTGGAAAAATGTACAAGTACAAAACATCTGTCTATACACATCTGAAGAACGATTGCGGAAAAGCTCCTCAGTATTTTTGTGAAATATGCAATTTTACGTGTAGATTTGATCATGTTCTGAGAAGGCATAAAATGTCTGCTACCCACAAAAAAAAACTGTTTGTTTTTGAAAGTGGAATGAGAAGCTGAATACGATATATGCTACTGTGGAAAATTCAAGAATGAAGAAGTATATTTCAGTTCATTTCAACTATATACACCATTTTTTTTATTTTGTGTTTATATGAAGTTTCGGGTCCTGAGTTTGAAGTGGATATTCTCAGTTAGAATATTTGTCTTTATATTGTTAAGTTTGAATTTCCGACAATCTGTACTGCCCAGGTGCTTCCAAGATAAATTATACATCTCTTGATTCTTACCTAGGACTTGAAAGTTCTACATATGCAATATACTACTAACATATTTACGTCTCAATTCAATCACATATTATTCCTAAACTTTCTTCTAATGATCCGTATTTGAGATGACAGTGAATACAGCAGGCAGAATGAGATTTGGCTGGTGGGATATCCATATACTGTACTGTGTTAGAGAAAGTGAGTATTCGAAAAAAAATGCAAAAAGGTAATAGAATGCAATCAAATATTCTTAACGGTACTTATTTTGTGTGCAATGAGGGTTATTTCAGAAGGCATTTCTCCGAAGGATATTTTCAAACCACTATTTTTTGGTCTTTCTATCACTAGTGAAAAAGGAATTAGTATGGTAATCTCATCTGCTAATAAACTCGGTTTCAGGTTTTGAATCAATTTCTGTAACATTAGAATACTTAAATCAAACATTGAATTGGTGCAATATTCATATTGAAAGAAGGATAAAGAAAATAACTTATGTCTGATTTGTACTAAGTTTTTCATTCGTTATGTCCGGTTTCGGTTTGTCAAGTAAACTCAAGTTCTAGTTCACTTGAAAATGGTTTGACAAATCGAAAACGGTCGTAACCAATGAATAAATTAGTGGAAATCAGACCAAACTCATTTTCTTTATCCTATATGCCTTTAACTTGCCTTTCGCCTTCTTTTCTTTTGTAACGTTCCGTTTTTTCCATTGGTAATTTCATATTGTTTGTGACACAATCTGGACACAAAATAAACCTTTTTCTTTTCAATTTCAATTGTGAATTATAACATATCCATTATCTAAATTCGTATTTTCATTTTCACTGGGATCTGGGATTTTTCTGAGCAGTCTTCGGTAGGGCTAACAAACATATAAATCGGAAAAATTGACATTCAAAAGCCATATTATTTGTTTTGATTATTTTGTTCCGTATCACGGTTAGGTATGCAAATAAACGTCAGATAAATATTTTTCTTTTGTTCAGTTACAGAATCAAAAGAGTACTGTTATTAAGTCAGGGATTTCATTTTTACAGTGTAAGGTTAAGTTAGAAGTTAGACGCAGAGAGAGAGAGATGTATATTTTTATGTCATTCTTAGAATCGGTGGACTTTGTTTATATGTCTATTTCATTAGGTGAGAGAGTTTGAACTTTGAACTGGTACCGATTTGATGTAGATAGAATGAAATTGTGAAACGGCTTTTCTGTGCTTGGCTTTCTAAGTGAGAAAAACTAGTGGTGACAAAATAATTATTAAATTTTGATAGTCATCCATATCAGTGGATTTCAACTATTAAGGTATTGATGGGCTGTAAATTGAATGGGGACTATAGTGAATAATGTTATGAAATCATGAATTGAAACTAATCGTAGAATCAATTGAAATTTTTTGACAGTAGTTTTTTATTCTAGTTTTGCTAAGTAAAATTGAAAGTGAAACATGAAAAACTAAATGTAAATCTGAATCTAAGATAAAAAATGAAAATCGTGTTAACAGTAAAAACCGATCAGAATCAATAAAAAAAGCTGAACCTAACATTTAGGCAAAAGTGAAGCGTAGAAAAACAATAGTATAAAAAACTATGGAAAAGAAGAGACCAAAAGCGGTTGAGATACGTTGAATGCCTTAAGCCCTTGGGTAATATATTGTATTGTGACGAGTGTTTAAAAGGGTGCCCTATTTCTATAAACATATTTAGATGGCGCCCAATCAAGGACTTGGTTTTGGTAACCCTTTTCATCATCCATTATTGAGCTTCTATAAAGAATATAAGAAACGAACCACGCTCTTGCCTCCACATAATCCACAGCTAGTCGTGGTACTGTTATCTTACTCTGAATTCAGAATTCAGAATTCAGAGTAAGGTAACGTTACACTTTTAAGTTTCCTGGTTCAGTTGTTCTAACATAATGGACTTCATATGCATTACTGAGAATTTATGCAAAATGCTTATCTTCCATATACAAAATTCAAATATTCCTTATTTATTTTGTATCTTGGTTTACATCCGTTATTCGGGTTCGTGATAGCTTTAACAATTATTTTTGATGTTATTTACACTTATTCTTATCCTTTTTTTTTGAAAAACGATTACTCAAAAGTCGAAAAATCGGCTACTTCAGGAGATCATCTTCACTAATGGAAACTTGGTAAGTGACACTTATTTTCAAGATCGCATGCCAAGGAACCTCATTTACCTGCCTGTTCCAATTTTCTCATGTGAAATGTATCATTTCTTCAAAGTATTATCTTTTTCAACAAACTACTACGTTCTGTTATGAACATTTTCACTGGAAAGTATTTCATTGGTTACATTGATAATGTTACAAAGTTGAATTATAAATAGTAGTTTGGTGAAATAAAAATATTGAATATGTGAAAAAATTCGATATGGGGGCTATACAAATCTGTATCAAAGTAAGTTTCTGAAATGGATTTTCCATCAGTTTCTTCATTTGATTATAATAGAGTTCGTAAGGTCAAACTTTTTATTTCAGATTCTTGGTCATTGGTCGCCATGCTAATTATTATTTTTCCAACTAGTTCGAGCTTGAAAAAGGAATATTCATCTGTATCTTGAATTTTTATTGAATTGTTTTCGTTTGTTTCAAGGTTCGTAATGAAAATTGGATTTTATTTTCAGCGTTGACCACTATCAGTCAACTCTTCAGCTGTTTGAAATGTGGAAAGGTATACCGACATCAATCATCCCTCAGTCGTCACTTCCATCAAGAATGTGGAAAACCCAAGAGTTTGAAATGTGATTATTGCTTCAAATTATTCAGAAGAAGAGATTTGCAACTCGCTCACATGAGAGATATGCACAGTAATCATCATTAATATAACAATAAAATAATAAATAACATATTCTAATGTTTTAATTACTGTTCAATCGCATTCTTTCTAGATTTGGAATATGCTCTATGATTTCACGCAGAAATCTTGACGTTCAATTATAAACAAAGTACAGTGTTATTCCAATGTTGATTTATTTCTTATTTTCAATATCTGAGCAAATATCTGGATTCTCTTCTAGTTTTCCTCTATCATATCTACTATCTCCATAATATATTTGATAGATTGATCATGTGAAGATGGGGTAGATGTTAAAGCATCTAGAACAATAGTTTTAGGTGAACTTTTTTCTGATCAAATTTTTGGACAGTTTTTGTTGCTCCAGAAACAACAATTTTCCTGCATCTCCCAAACCTTAGAGTAAGTGACAAAATGGTCAAGACTTTCGCGGCTGATGTTTTCAGTACCACTATTTTTTGGTTTTGAAGATCATCGATTTTTGGAATTTCTTGTTGCCATTTCGCTGGCGTGAGTGGCTAGCTTCTTCAGAGGTTTATACGAATTGAGATGCGAAGATTGCTTAGGATGTACAAACCTCTGAAGAGCTGTTAGATGTTTCGACAGTGTTATTTGTGTTTGAATCGCATGTTGGTGACATAATGTTAATGGATAACATAATCGTGTAATCTAAAGCAAATGGAACTTCAAACGTTCAAGCCAGTCTCTATATACCTACACAGTATGTTTAATGGACTGACACCTATCAGAAAACAACTACTCCTCTGGCTAATACCATGAAGGGCGTTGGATTATATCAGACAGGCGTCAGTGCAGGAATTTTCATAGAAAATGTCCTGCATATGCAATTGGCAGTACAACTGAAAGAGTCGACCTTCAATTATGGAACGGGCACACTTGCAGACCGGTTTCGGGTTTATTAGCCACTCATCAGTGCAAGATAGTGACCATCATCGACCTAAAGTCAATGATATTCCACAATTGAAAATCGGAATTCTTTCAGAGTATTTCATTCCTCTTCCGAAGTTGGAGCGAACATCAAAAATTTCACTCCATCTAGTGGACGAGGTATTAACAAACTGCATATCCGTAATTTGCCCGATTCCTCTGAATAAGGAAGAAAAACTTTCTTATTAGTCAATGGGCTATATACTTGAAGACTGGCAGTAAACAAAGATTATATCAGACGCCTGTCTGATATAATCCAACGCCCTTCGTGATATTAGCCAGGGGAGTAGTTGTTTTCTGATAGGCGTCAGTCCATTAAACCTACTGTGTAGGTATATAGAGACTGGCTTGAACGTTTGAAGTTCCATTTGCTTTAGATTTGTTTACTGCCAGTCTTCAAGCATAGCCCATTGACTAATAAGAAAGTTAATCGTGTAATGATCAGTTAAATTGGTTGTATATACATACGTTTTCAGTGAGAGTTTATCAAGTATGTGTTTACCAGATAGTTTTATGTAGATATGATCGATCAAGGTAGAGCTGTCTTTTGTTACTCGGGTTGGCTTATTGATGTAAGAAAAATATCCCTGTTGGGCCATCAAACATATGTAGTTATTGGTAAATTCCAAGAAAGATTCCAATTTTTGAGTCAGGATTCGAGAAATCAGATCTGTTGGAATTCACAATCAGTTAACTGAACATTAATCTTCAGCTTCAACTGATTACCGACCCAGTTGGTAACATTTTCTGCACATATATATCAGAACAAACTCCACATAGATGGTCAGGGTTATTCGTATCAGGATTTTACAGATCAGGAGCTCATTATAACGGGATCCAATCGTATCTGTATTCAGCAAATTATTTCTCAAAATCTCAGAAAGTTCGACGATTACTCGCAGCAGAATTAGAAACTGAACAATTTTCACTCTATTTTTTACTGAATGATTCGTTCATTCACTAGTTAGTGGATTAATATCGTCATTTTAGGTATTGACGAGTAATGCTCCATTCGAAATGTGTGTGGGTTGATTTCCTCTTTTCATAAAAACGATGAAATACTTGAAGGTAAGTCAGCGTTTGATGAGTTTTCCAGTCACAACACAACAAAAAAATATTTTTTGAATGTTTCCTACACTAAATTAGTTGGTTTCTACTAATTTTGGGGTGATAAAAACGAAAATAACAATGAAAAATTTTTATTAGCTCTGGTTTTTGAGATACACAGTACTTAATCTTAAAGAGTAGTTATACTATACGTGAAAAGTGAAAGTACATAAAACAATATTGTTATGTTTCTTTTAGAATATTTTAAATACAAAATTAATGAAAAAAACATTATTCTTAGTGTTTTGACAAATAAAAGAAGTTTGTACCACCAAATTTCAATTAAGTCCATCCGATTCATTGTAAGATCGCTTTCGTTTAGCTTGTCTTTTATAAAACACTTCTGGAGCATCCCTACACACAGACCAGCAGTAGTCTGCAAGCATTGCTTCATTCCAACGGCCCTGATATCTCTGTTCCATTAAGGCAATGTCTTGATGGAATCTTTCTCCATGTTCGTCACTCACAGCTCCACAGTTTTGTGAGAAGAAATTAAGATGAGAGTGAAGAAAATGAATTTTTAAGGACATGTTGCATCCAAGTTGGTGGTAAGCTTGAAGAAGCTCTTTAACCAATGCTGTGAAGTTATCATCTCTTTTGTTACCTAAAACCCATGTACAACCCCCTTAAAGGCTTCCCAGGCTCTTTTTTCATTTCCTGTTAAAATCATGTCAAAAGCAGGATCATTTACGATTTCACGGATTTGAGGCCCAATAAAGATGCCTTCCTTGACTTTAGCATCACTCAACCTGGGAAACTTTGCTCTCAAGTACTTAAAAGCTTGTCCTTCCTGGTCCATGGCCTTCACAAAGTTTTTCATTAGTCCCAACTTAATATGTAATGGGGGAAGGAGAACATCCTTAGGATCTACAAGAGGCTCGTAAACTACATTTTTCTCATTAGGGTTTAGGTCTCGTGTAGGCCAGTTCATTTTTTTATAGTGAGATTTTCTATCCCGACTGTCCCACAGACACAAAAAACAACAGTACTTGGTGAACCCTAATTGCATTCCTAGGAGTATAGCAATGACTTTCAGATCACCACAGATGTGCCACTTGTGTCGTTCATATTTGATTGATTGGAGAAGTGTTTTCATATTTATATACGTTTCCTTCATGTGAATTGCATGACCTATAGGAATAGAGGGTAGCTGATTTCCATTATGCAGAAGTACAGCTTTTAAGCTTAGTTTTGAAGAGTCTATAAACAGTCTCCATTCAGATGGAGTGTGATCCAAATTCAAGCAGTCCATCAAACCATTAACATCAGAACAAACTACGAGGTTTTCTTTTTTCTCAAAAAAAGGAAGCAAATCTTTTTGACGCTGTCTCTACTGAGATATTTTCACATCATGTTTTAGAAGATTCCACTGTTGTAGTCTTGACCCTAACAGCTCAGCCTTTTCCTTAGACAAGCGAAGATCTCTTATAAGATCACTCAACTCTGCTTGACTAATTCTGTGCGGATCACTAGACCTATCGCTTACCTCAAAATCAGGGTCATAGTATGTAGAAGGATGGGTTGCTCCTTCTAAACAGTCTTCATCACCTTCCTCTAAAATTTCATAGTTTTGGGGTGGAGAAGGGACTGGCAAATTGTCTGAGTGTGGTACAGGCCGAAGAGCAGATGGGAGATTAGGGTATTTAACCGTTCCTCTTTTCTTCATAGATAAACCTTGCTTAATGGGAGGAGTTAAGCAGAAATAACAGTCGTCTGTATGATTGGTAGGCTCACGCCAAACCATAGGTACTGCAAAAGCCATTGCCCGGTTTTTATTTTTCAGCCACTCTCGCAATATGACGGAACAAGAATTACAACATATATGAGGAGCCCATGATTTATCTTGGTCCCCAACTTTCACACCAAAATAATGTTCATAGGCTGTCTTAACGATAGGTGTCATTTTACGTTTCTGAGCCTTAAATGTTATTTCACCACATATATAGCAAAAGCTATCGACAGAATTCACACACTTTCGAGGCATTTCAGATCAGCACTTAAATTAATTTAAAAATCAACTTCACACGATAATTTCAATAGCAACCACGTGCGTACAATTGACAAACTCACATAGGTTATGTTTACTACTTAAGAACAGCTGATGAGAGGGGTGTTATGTAAACAAACATGTGTACCAACTGTTGGTGCTGAAATATTTCATTTGTTGAAAACTCAATATACAAATATATAATATAATGATACTATATCTTGAAAACAAGAGCTAATATATAATTTTCATGGTCACTTTCGGTTTTAACACGTGGAAATACATTAAAATCATCTAATTTCAACCCCGAAACAAAAACTTTGTTGTGTTGTGATAATTAATACACTATAGCTGACGAACATTGATGCTTTTTCCATAGTAATTCCATAAACAACACGTTACGACTTGATCTTCACAAACTTTGTTTTCAAAAAATATATCACGACATGTTTTGCTATCACAGTAGCGTTTTCGTCGTAGATTAAAGTTTAGGAAGATTAATTTATAAGATATAGTTTATAAAAAAGAAATGATGCTCATATTTCATTAGAATTCTATAATTTGGATTTTGGGTTCTTTGAATGGATATAATCGTTTTATTTTTCTGTATATAATGTCAACATGTATCCCCATATACCATAATTAAAAAAAATCCTTTGAAGCGAATGTTTTCGAGTATAATAATGTGAGAAAAATATCAATTGATAATATATAAATGATTTGCATTGGCACACTTTTCAATCCATTAAAATATCAAAAATTGTTGTAGATAGTCGAGAGTTTCAAACCAGAAACAAATCAAATTTCACATCGAGATTTTTTCATTCTTTCATGAATATTTTTTCAAATCATGAATCAAAGAAAGTCGTACAAATTTTTTTCCATGAAAATACGAGGTAACGGGACTGACTGTCTGCCTGAGTGCCTCAAGATCAAACGCCATATTTCCGCCATCTGAACCCAACCACAAAATTAATGAGAATCGCTTGAAATTGCTGTGACTACAAATGTTTGGATCCTTTCGAAAGTCTGGAAATAGCTCGGTGTGGTAGAAAGAAATATGAACAGCGACAAAGGCCTCAGCCAACTCTATACTATTTTATGAATATCTTTGACGAAATTAGGAGGAACTTTACCTGTAATTTCCCGCTAATTTATATTTGAAAGAAACAATAATGATATGTATAATTGAAAGTGAAATTCACTCTGTAAGATACAATGTGTCTCACTTCTTATGGAAACACCCCCGTATCTTCCGTAATATTCGAGGTAGAACAATGAACCTCTCTGGACTGATGGAAATGCTCAAAATGCTCCTTCTACCTGATTGGGGTTGGCCGAAGTGATATACACTGTCCGCCACTCGCGATGGAACACCCCATTTTTACGGTAAAACATATTAGGGGGCAAAATAGGCTCAAAATTCCTTCAGATTCGTGATCAGGAGTACCAACTTACTACGATTACACTTTTTTCCTGAAAAAATTTCAGTCCTGAAAAATCCGAATTTGTCTCACTTCTTATGGAAACACCCCCGTATTTTCCGTAATATTCGAGGTGGAACGATGAAAGTCTCAGGACTGATGGAAATCTCAAAATGCACCTACCACCTGAATGGGGTTGGCTAAAGTGGTATACACTGTCCGCCACTCGCGATGGAACACCCCATTTTTACAGTAAAACATATTAAGGGGCAAAAGAAGCTCAAAATTCCTTCAGATTCGTGATCAGGACTACCAACTTACTACGATTATACTTCTTTCCTGAAAAAATTTCAGTCCTAAAAAATCCGAATTTGTTTCACTTCTCATGGAAACACCCCCGTATCTTCCGTAATAATTAAAGCAGATTTTTTTTGATTATGAAATCAAAACATGAACGAAATTGTTTAAGAGAAACTCGACTTTTGTTTTCACATAAATAATTTATTTTTTATTTTGTTGTCAGGAAAGTTATTTCTTCTCAATAAGAGAGAAAATGGTAATTTTGTAAGAGGAACAGAAACATGTAATCAGTGAGGTTTTAGGATGGTTAATGTTAGTTAATATTCTCATTTTCCCATTATTTTAAAAAAACAAGGATATTTTGTGGCGAAAAATGTTATGTTTCAAAATAACATTTTCAATTAAAAAACAAAACAATCAATTTCAAATGATTTAACTGTTGTCAATTTTATATTTTTGTGCCTTCTATGAAATTTATCTCCAATCGAACACATTTTTCTATGCGCCTTCTATTATTTCCTCCAACTTTTCTCAGTTCTCTAGGTGTGATTTCTCTACACGCTTGAATAATTCTTGCACGGATATCTTTCTTATTTATTGGCCTATCCTTATAAACTTCATTTTTCAAGTTTTCCCATAAATAAAAATCCAGTGGAGTTAAATTTGGGGATCGTGGTGGCCATACTACGAGAGGGCTATTGGGTCTTATCCATTTCATAGGTAGATTCCTATTCACCCAAACCCTTGTTATGCCACTATTGTGAACTGGTGAACCATCTAACTGTAAATCATGCTGTGTCTCATATCCAAAGGTAGTTCTTCCAACACATCGGAAAATGCATTTTCGAGAAAGTCAACGAATAGTCGTCCGTTTAAATTTTGATCGAAAAAAAATGGCCCGATAATATTTTCGTTTAGGATACCACACCACACATTAACTTTCTGAGATATTTGGTCTCTACAATTCGCCACCCAATTTGGATTTTGTTCAGCTCAAAACCTCATGTTCTGGGAAGATACAACACCATTCGTGGTAAAGGTAGCCTCATCACTGTATAAGATATACTTTAAAAAATTCCTGTCATTGAGATAACTTCCCTGCATCCAACTTCCCTGCATCCTGCATTTTATGCCTCGTTAAACACTTCCATATTTTACTGCGGCTCATATTGAGTTGAAGCGATAAGTTTCTCAAACTAATTCTAGGATCAGCTTGATTAGCCGCCAATATCGTATCATCATCAATATGATGTTTTACAATTTTTCTGTCCTTTGTTACTTGGCCGGTGCTCACAAATAGATTATATATTTTATGTACAGTTCCAGAAAACAACTGGAACACAGAAACAATATCCAACACAAATACAGGAACAATAAACACAATGGTAACAAAAACACGGCAGAAACAATAGGAACAACGGTGATTCAAAGAACAACAATACTAGAAACAACAAATGCAATGAAAACTGGTCTGGGGGTTAATACAACAAGATCTTTCAACAATATTGTCAGGTTGACAGTAAATATCAATGAGCAACTGTTTTCCATGGTGATTTCAGGGCACCGCATGATTCAGTGAAACTGATGTAATTCAATCCCTTCAAATGATTTCAGACAACAATTCAGCAAGTAGGTAAATCTACCTGTTCACCGAGTGCGATTTTTTCTTTAAAAATTAACAGTTGTTTCGGTGTTGCAATGAGTATGAAGATTAATTTTGTTTCGGATGGTAAAAGGTTTTTTCAATATTTTGATAAAAGACCCCTCACATTTCTTATGAGAAATGGCTTTCCTTGAATTTTGCCGAAATTTTGATATGTTGTAGTTCTTGATGTGTTGATTGAAAGTGGTCACAGCCAAAGTTCAGAATTGTACAGTTTTCGAGATGTGAACCTTTGAATATAGATTTTTTCCATTTTTTTGCAGTTTTTGCTCATCAATCGAGAGCTCTGGTTGGGATAGAATTTGGATGTTCAGCAACCAGAATTAGTTTAACGAATAATCTTCTTCAGTTATAATAGATGCCGCCATCGATAATTTTTCATACACTGCTTCACACTATCTCGATAATCTGAAAATGTGGTGCTGTGACATTTTCCTCAGATAGGCTCAGAATGGATGATAGCATCTCACAGCATCTGTATCTTTCATACCTGAAAGTACTCTCCAGATAGAAAGAAGGGATTCAGGTATTGGAAGCGAACTATTTTGCGCCTTAATATGTTTTACCTAAAAATGGGGTGTTCCATCGCGAGTGGCAGACAGTGTATATCACTTTGGCCAACCTCATCCAGGTGGTATGTGCATTTTGAGCATTTCCATCAGTCCTGAGAGTTTCATCGTTCTACCTCGAATATTACAGAAGATATGGGGGTGTTTCCATGAGAAGTGAGACACACTGTATAAATAGGAAAAGTTATAAATAAATTTGATTCTGATGATTCCACCTTGGTTAGTGGAAACAGCGTCAAAAAGAGTGTTACAGCTCTGATGAATTGTACCTTTCTGTAATGATCGTGTAGTTCTTCTGAGCGGGAGCACTGTGTGGGTGAATCTAACCATACGTCAGAAATAGCAGTTCCAGTAGTTTTTCTATTCCTCGACCGAATCTTTCATATGTTATTATCAACGATAATGATTAGTTAATTTTTACATTACACATTTTATTCAAGACGCGATAGTTTCATCATTTGAATTGCTGAAACTACCATGTTGTGGAACGCATTTTGAATAAATTTTATAGTATGGAAATTATATTATTATTATCATGACAAGTGTTATTATTTATCCTCAAATAACAAATCAGTGCATTCATAATTTTATATATAAATTTTTTTCAGAACAATTATCTATTCGTTTTGAACAAAAAAAAGTAGGCATATCATCGTTTTTGTTAACAAAAATTCATTTTGATATTTGATAGCTAATGCTTCCTCTCACTCACTATTTCTGGACAATGGAAAATGGAGCCTACAACTTCCAACCAGAAACATTTTGAGTGAAAAATTTCATTCTTATCATTTCAATATATTTCATTACTAGTTATAATAATTTGTTCGTGAATTATTTTCTATCGCAAATCTGACAAATATTCTTTCAGGTTTCAAACATTTTCGATGCCACAAATGTTCAAAAAGATACAAACTTATGAACAGTCTTCGCAGACATCTGAAGGTGGAGTGTGGAAAAGAAAAAAACGTCGTATGCACATTTTGCCCTTACCGGTTTTACTATAAGCAGGAATTACATTATCACATGTACAACAAACATAAAGAAAATTTGAAAGGAATGTTTTTCACAGAATGATGGAAATAAGGACTTTAATCTGAATTGTGACTGAAATATAACTTGTAATAATAATTTTAATGAGTTTTTGAAGACTTCATAGGTACTCGATTGTGATTCGAGAGTGTCCACATTTTAATGGGATTGTATTGTTAACTTTTAAACAATGAGAGTTAGAAGGTCGAGAAGAAGTTGCATTCCTAGAAGCATTGTCAAGTAGTTCAAATAAATCAAAAATATCAGGGCCAGTTATTGAAGTTTCATAAAAAAGGTAAATTCTCCAATTTTACTTTTTGTTTTTCCCACGTTATTTCTAAAATTATCGAAAATTGGTACGAGCATTTTTTATTCAACAGTAAGTTCTTCTCAATTTGACGAGATCAGATTTCGAATCTAACGTTTCCTACTCTCTGGGCCACCCTCAACCTCATTTTTTTAAATACGGACTTACTTATTTTAAAACGCTTTCCGAAATAACTTTTTACGTTGAAGTCAACGATATATCATATAATGTCATTCGAAGTTGATTTTCAAACCTTTACCCAAATTTCTTTGGTTCGAATCTGTACTGAATTTACCTTTAGTTCAATAAATAACATGAAATACATTTCGATAAGATTATCAACTCACCCATCTTGAACTAAATGGAACATATCAGAATCAAACCAAGAAAGGAGTAATAATCATTTACATATTTCAGTAAGTGAACGAAATTATCATTTATATGAAAAAAATATTGATTATTCGAAAGTTTATAAAAATTAATAAGGTAAGTAAGTGTTTGAAATGTCCAACATTTTGTAAAATGCACTGTGGTTCTGGAACTCAAACTTCTTATACACTCTGTTGATTTCGTCTCTTCGAATACCTTTCAATACCGTCAATCTAGCAGACTACTATTATAATCTTCATGCAGTCATTGTTCACTGTGGTTCTGGCGTTGAATCTGCATTGGTCAAAGACGAAACGGACTGGTTAAGTTTGACGATAGTCGTGTCACTAAGTGTTCTAGCGACGCTTGAATTTATTGGAGCCTCTGGAGACACCGTACATTTTGTTTTATGAGAGAGAGGACATTGGCAGATCAAGATCTTCAGATAATGTAGTGCTGCAGATTTTTTCCGAGTTTTCCTGCAGCTAAAAAAGCAAATGCGCCACTGAAATCAATGAAGTCGCCTCGGAGCGCCAAATAATTTTTGTTGTTTCGCAATTTCATGATTTCTATCACTTTCTTCTTTAATATATTTTATCCTTCCAACGTGATAAACTTGGATTTTACTACCATATTAATGCTAGTATGATCCGGAGTTTGTAAATCAACATTAAAGCTATAGATCTATTGAAAGAAGTTTCAAAAAAATATTCAGGTCTTGATGAAAACTACACTATTGTTTTAGAAACGTATGCTTTGTATGTAATCATATAGAGGAGCATTGTATTGCTAGATAATCACACATTCCTCTTGACATCGTTGAGGTTTCCCAATTCTCCAGAGAAGTTGTTTCTTTTCTTCTGTAGGAGAGAAATTAATGGTTCTCTTCATCCACCTGACTGCACTCCTGGAAACTTAGATAAAAGTTGCTACTTGAGTAGTGATATTCAGATGATGTTCGAAAAAATATTTCAGAATGAAGTCTCAGGTCACAACAAAGTTTCTTCTCTTTTAGGTTTCGTGAAAATATTTCCATTTCCTTGCTTCTTTCCTACAAATCAACTACCATTTTGCTGGCAAAAATGATTGATCTGTATGTCTTGGAAGGTATACTGTCGTTGATCAGTAGTATATACCGAGTTGTGACTATTTTTTCGTTAATTCAACTACTCAAGCAGTGAAGATGGCAAATGTTTTCAAATCGGTGTAGTGTACTACTGAATAAGCAAATTATTTGCCTTGCGATGATTTGCTTACGGTATGGAATGTCACAAGGTACTTTGATTAACATGGGATGAAAAATCTCTGGCCTATAAGATAGGAAACGCTTTTTTTTATTCGAAATTGGCTTTATTCATCAACGTAATCTTCATAATATCATTCCAGTGCAGCTCTAATATTTCAATACCACTTTTGTGGTATCTTTTGCCTCAGTTCCAGCAATAACCTCTTCATTCGAGCAAAAATCCTTACCGGTGAGCATTTTTTGAAGTCTGCAAAAGGCCAGTAGTCGCTGGGAGCCAAATCTGATAAATACAGTGGATTTGGGAGCAGTTTTAAGTTCAATTCATGTGGTTTTGCCATTGTTTTGATTAACTTGTGACACGGTGCGTATTTCTTTTCGAAATGTGGTCGTTTCTTTGCAATTTTGGCCTTCAAACGCTCCAATAACGGTATATAATATTCACTGTTGATGGTATTTTCCTTTTGAAGATAGTCGGTGAATATAACACCACGCACATCCCAAAATACCAAGGCTATAACATTTCCAGCCGATAGTTGTGCTGTCGGGCGCTTTATACGAGGTTCACCCGTTGCTCTTCATTCAGATGACGATTCTTTCGATTCCGGAGTGAAGTGATGGATCCATGTTTCATCCACTGTCAAATATCGACGCAAAAATTCCGGTTTGTTATGATTGAACATCACCAAACACTGCTCAGAATCATCAAGACGCTCTTGGTTTTGGTCAACAGTGAGCTTTTGCAGCCCCCACTTTGAAAATAGCTTTCTCATAGTCAAATACATGCAATATAAAGCCAAAATATTGTTTCGAAATCTTTACAATACCAGCTAACTCACGCAACTTCAGTTTTCGATCATTCAAAACTATTTTGTGAATTTTTTTTATATTTTCTGGTACTACTGTCTCATTTGGACGTCCACTACTTTCTGCATCGGTCTCTCTACGACCACGTTTGAAGTCAGCAAATCAACGTTTAATTGTTATTTCTGATGGGGCTGAGTCCTTTTAACAGTTTTCAGGCCAATGCTTCGCTTGAACTACATTTTTCCCATCAAGTAGCAGTGTACATTTAAATTATGAAATTGTTTTTGATTCATTGTTTTGAAAATGACAAAAGTAGTGTCACTCTCAGCACAATAACTTACAAACTTATGGGTAGAATATCATAAAATTTCAACAGCTTTCTTTCGAAAGTTAGTACTAGCTGACAGTCAAAATGAATAAGAAAATGCAGTCCTATTGGGGTGAAGAGATGACATTACCATACAAAATGATCACCTAGTTTTGTAAAAGGTCATCAAGAGAGGGCTTTTTCTTCCAGTTTGTTTCTGAATTGCATGATATGTTTCTGCATGATCTACAAACCTTTGTAAATAGTTTATCCTGAAATTAATTGCTTCATTTCTTCCTTTAAAAGTTCCCCACATTTTTTTGTATGTAGATAGGCAAGTAGAGAGCCAAAACCTTTTTTTTTTAAATTGACCTCTCCTGAAAATAAACCCCTTTCAATTTGACTCATCAAGATATGATCTAAAAATATTGATGCAAGGGAATAAATTTACTACTCCAGTACACAATTTTACAGAATAAACAAGTTAATGCCAATATGATTTCGTAAAAGTGAAATTTATTTATATTTTGTCTGGTTGTAGCATTCAGATGAAGAAGAAATACTATTCTTGTATGGATCAAATTATTTTCAGAAAAAATTGTAAAGATATGTACATCCTTATAGTGAAAATCAATATTATTTTTTCAGGTTTGTTGAAAATCTCTTGAGAGTAGGTTCGTTAGAAATATTCAAAATATCTAACACGATATTGTTCGTTATTACCCCAAGGCACCAATATTAGTTAGGTTAATAATATTATACCGATTTAAAAGTTGCTAAAAACTTGAAGGGATTATCTAAATATACATATTATCAATTTTGCAGTAATTTATGTTTAAAATAATTCGTGTTGTCGTACTGAATCACGTTGCTTAATAATTATTCATTCTCATATCAAAAAAATATACACTTTGTACCCGAAAATGAAATTTATTTCACGAATACCAGATAAAAATGTTTATAGAAAGCTGCAGTGTTCTTTCATCAACAGTTGGTGTTGCTGTAAAAAACTTTAAAAATTTTTATGAAATTGATACAATTTTTCAGGACTATTTCAGTGTAATACCTGCCAAAAAACGTATAAGCATAAACGATCGCTACAGCGACATTGGAAATTTGAATGTAACCAAGAACCCAAGTTCGTTTGTGTTGAAACAGGTTGTGACTACAAGGCTTTTCAAAAAGTTCTTCTGCACAGACACATCCTACTGAAACATTCTGGGGAGATCTTCTGATTGAGTCATAAAATTACGCACTGTACGATATGTGAGGTATTTGTCAACGTACTGAATATGTATGAATGTTTTTATATAAAAGGCTTTCACGACCGAAGTCATGATTGAAAATAACAAAATCCGTGGTCGAATGGAAAACAGTCGTTGCTGAGAACTTCGTCTGCGCAATCAACGCACATATCACTGTTTATGTCTGCCAAAGTAACAGACGAAACGTTTAATACTTTGGATTCTATTCGATCACAGTCTACCAGTCTGGATTTTATCCTTTTTGAAAATTATGTATTGTTTTGTTACAAACGAATATAAGATCTTGATTGTAATACTGAAATGTATGTTGTATGTACCTTATAATAGAAAATATATATTGTTTTATACTTATATTTTGCAACTCCAATAATTTTCGAATTTTTTGGTTGTTTTCACCAATTCTGTGGTCCTTGTCTAGAGCATGTTGGGCGACACTGGATTTTTCTATCCTTCCGTCTTTCATGTGTGCACAATGCTCCTTGAAGCGGGTTTTAATCGCTCGTCGGCTCTGTTTTATATGCAACTTTCATATTTACTTTATCGAATATCTGTTGAAGCCCTCTCGTGTATTGGGGTTCATATGAGATTACTATAAACTTGTTATTAAACAATGTAAAAACAGCATGAATGGCGATAAGGGACCTATCCCGTTTAGCCCGCTTTTTAATCTTCTGTTAGGAAGAGAATAATTACTAAGAACTTGCAGGTAGTTAATTACCGAGAAATTCCATACTGGACTTCAGGTATACAACCTCAGGTAATAAATTTTAGTATATAAGGACTAACCAGACTAGACTAGTTATCAATTTTCTTCTCCTGAGGATGTTAACTTTGTTGGCGAAACGCGCGTCGAGTGCAAAAATATCAGTTTGGTGTTAGGGCAATTGATCTCGAAAAAAGTTATTCAACTTTCACACCAAAGGTTCCAATCTCATCGTTAATCGTTATGTTAGATCTTCATATATTAAGAGAAGAAGCTATTTATCCGATCATGATATCGAGAAATTATATATAGGTTGGTTGAAAATCTCTTAAGAGTAGGTTCGTTAGAAATATTCAAAATATGTAACACGATATTTTTCGTTATTACCAATATTAGTTAGGTTAGTAATACGAGTATAAGATCGATATGAAAGTTGGTAAAAACTTGAAAGGATTATCTAAATGTACATTTGCAGCAATTTATGTTGAAAATAATTCGAGGTGTCGTACTGAATCACGTTGTTTAATATATATTTATTCATTCTCATATCAAAAAAATATATACTTTGTACCCGAAGATGAAATTTATTTCACGAATGCCACATAAAAATGTTCATAGAAAGCTTCAGCGTTCTTTAATCAAAAAAGTTGGTGTTGCTATGAAAAACTTTACCATTTTTTATGAAATTGATACAATTTTTCAGGACTATTTCAGTGTAATACCTGTCAGAAAATGTACAAGCATAAACGGTCGCTACAGCGACATTGGAAATTTGAATGTAATCAAAAACCCAAGTTCGTTTGTGTCGAAATGGGTTGTGACTACAGGGCCTTTCAGAAAGTAACTCTGCACAGACACGTCCTACGCAAGCATTCTGGAGAGATCTTGTGATTGAGTCATAAAATTACACACTGTACAATATGTGACGTACTTGACAACTTACTGAAAACAAAGGCATTCACGACCGAAGTCACGATTGAAGAGAATAAAATCTGTGGTCGAATGGAAAATAGTCTTTGCTGAGACCCACATATCACTGATGATGTCTGCCGCAGTAGCAGACGAAACCTTTGGTACTACGGGTTATATTCGATAACGGTCTACCAGCCAGGATATCTGCCTTTCTGATAATTATGTATGGATTGTTGCAAACGAATATGAGATCTTGTTTGTAATATGGAAATGTATCTTAGTTTATAATCGGAAATATATATTGTTTTGTACTTATTTTTTGCGACTCCAATGATTTTTATTTTTTTTGGTTGAAAAAGTCATTATTTTCCGATTCTTGAATTTCAATGCAAATTTCCAATAAAAACAAAACATATTTTTGGGTAAATTTTTCAAACTACTTGAAGACAACGAAAACATTTTGAAAAGATTCATTATACATTGAAGATAAGTATAAGATAAGTATAGATAACCTCGTAAAACACAGAAATCTCCGTGACAAACTATATAAAACGAGTATTAAAGGTATTCATCATGAATCGTTCGTATCATATTTTTCAAATCGCACCCAGGCTGCGATATTCGAATGAGAATTATAACGAAACTTTCTTTTTTAACATAACTTGCATAATGACATAGGTGTTCCCCAAGGATCAGTTTTGGGGCCAATCCTTTTTATTCTCTATATCAATGAGTTGCCATTGGTTTTACAAAAGTCACCCACTTGTTTGTATGCTGATGATTCTTCTCTCCTGTTTAAAGCAAAAGATTTGCTTGAATTATAACAAAATATACATTCAGATCTTGATAACTTGCAAAATTGGTTCAGTGAAAATTCATTACTTTTGAATGCTTCCAAAATGAAAGCAGTAGCTTTTCATACTGCTCAAAATACACAGTAGGCATTAATATTGGAATATGCGATGTTGAGATAGAAAGAGTTGACAGTATACAATTTTTAGAGCTTCCTAGACAGCAATCTCAATTTCCGTCAGCACTACGATAATCTCACTGAATTATACTCAATAAGCAGTGTTATGTGTTAAGAAACCTGAAAAGAATTCTAGACTACTCTGGTCTACTTTTATATTACCACGGACAGATACAATCAAGAATTAACAATGGGATTATTGTTTGGGGAAATTTTCCACCTTCACATAATATTTTTGTAACGCAAAAGATAATTATTAGAACCATTGCGAACGCATCATCGTGTAGAACATTATTCAAAAAATTGAAAATTTTGCCTCTACCTGCTCTCTACATTCTGGAAGTTTTGTTGTACATCCATAAAAATTAAGAATTTTTCAAACGAAACTCATCTTTCCATGAATATAATACCGGCATCCAAATATATTTTCACATACCCAAAACACGTTCATCTCTACATCTGAACACGTTTGAGATTTTGGGGCTGAGATTATATAATGCACTTCCCCAGTTTTTCAAAATTATAACCAAGGAACAAGTATTCAAACATAAAATAAAACAACTACTGTTTGAAATTAACCCCTATACACTCGATGCGTTTTTTTCTCATCTAAATTATTAAAAAATATTTTGTATTATTTTTCATTTTTGCTGCTTTCAATGTGTCTGTTTTATAGTTGTATTTTATATATGTATTTACTGATTTGTCCAATTGCTTCTTTTAGGCTCATTCTAATGGATCAATAAAATATTAATATTATTAAATTATACACATATGTAATGAAGGAAAGAAAATGAATTTGTTGGAAGCCATGGAAATTAACAAATCAATTAAAAACCCGAAATATATACCCTAAACAACCAACTCGATTTATGTAGGATTCCACTCTTGAATTTATAAGTTCAACAACTAAAAACTTCAGTGAATTTTAGAGTTGACACCCTTGTTCATTTAACTACCTCTTCTGTTAGCTCACCTAAAAACTCCCGGTATAACCGGGTATTCAGAATTTACATGTTAGTTTTATACTGGATAGAGGGGTAAAACCCGAAACCGGTCGTAAAAATGAAATAACTGGTGGAGATTAGACAAAGGTGTTTTCATTCATTTCTTCAAATTGAACTAATATGAAATCATTGACTTTATATGTCTCCCATTGAATAGTCATTATCAATTAAAAAAAAAATACATCTCCGGAGAGTTCCACCTATCATTGAGTAAATTACCGAAGTAGTTTTGACAGTCTTCAGATAAAATATGCATACCTACTTCAATTCTGAAGTTCAGTTTAAATTTATGTATTTATAGATTGAAGTATTTTATGTCCTATTGACTCAATTCTTCAACATTCAGCAATTAACAATATTTTTTAATATCATTATTTTTCGCATGTCTGCTAGAGTGGGCCTTGAAAGCCCACTGAGAATAAAAAACGCAATAGTGACATGAAATCACAAATAATACTTGATTATCAAAAGTAAGGTTGAGATTTCTGAACTATCATTCAAACAATAGGTATTCAGTTGATCACTCCATGGTGTTTTGGTGTTTTCGGTGAGCATTAATTCTTTCCCTAAAAAATATAAAACCTTCTGTGGAGTATTGTTCTCATGTTTGGAGCTCTGACCCTAAGCATACCCTGAAGCTGGTGAAATCCATCCAGAAAAGAGCCATCCGCCTGTTTGAAAACGCGAACATCACTCGCAACCTTGATAGTCTGTGGAACATCGAAGGAAAGTTGGAGATTTTTTATAGATACTTCTACGGAAGGTATTCAAGTGACTTCGCATATTTGATTCCATCAAGAGCGGTACATCATTTTGAGAATCAACTCAGTACACTTCGAACTTCGCTGTGGTAGAACTGCGTTCATGTGGAATAAACTTCCTTAGAACGTTTTCTCAAATACATTCAATCTCCAACGAATCACATTCAACGTGAATCGCTACTTTCGCACCGCTCTTAGAGCGGCTTAAAGTTTTTCCTTTATTGCTCGTGTTTTGTCTTTGAAAAAAAATAAATGCAGATTTTAAGGGTCAAAATGTTGTTTGAGAATAAACAAGAACAATTTGGTTGTTATTTCAGTCAAAGAGATCATCACTAGAGTTGCAAAAAGATATTACGTTACTACAGTTATGGCCTTAAAAATACTCTTCAGTTCTCGCAAACACAGTTTTTTCAAAATTGAATCTGAAGAATACAAGGAAAAACTTTTAGAGGCGATTGGTTGGCGAATAAGTTGGTTTGTAGAATTTCAAAATAGGCATAGCTGCTGTTTCAGATGTTTTTTTGACTCGTAGACAACTTTATTGGTATCCAGTTATTCACAGCCTCATCCAAGAAATGATTTTGAGTTATTTTTTCAGATCTTCCTTTTCTTTGCACCGTTTGTCGACGACGATATAAATATAAAGGAAATCTCATGAGACATCAGAAATTTGAATGTAATCAGACACCACAATTCATCTGTCAGATAGATGGATGCTCTTATTCGAGTAAATTGAAAGCAAACTTGGAACGACATGTTAGATTCAAGCACTGCCACTCCCAAGCTGAAATTAAAAGGAATAGCTTACATTCAGGATATGAATCGAAAGCCGAACATATCATGTCAATTCGCTAAAATACATATTTCATTACGTTTCGAAAATTGTAAAAATATTTTTGTATATAATGAAATAAAATAGATATTCAATTTGAGAAATCATTTCACTCATCATCATATGTTCTCTGCTTACGAAAGTTTTCAAAAATCAAAAAAAGGGT